ACACAAGTGCTCATATCTTGTCTAGGACTGAGTATGCCCAACTATTCGGGCACCCCGGGGTCCAGTTCGCCACCAGCGTTTCGGCATGTGGTTGGCCATCCTCTTCGGGACCTGCCACAACCAACCGCACGGGGCAGGCCGACGCTGACACGAACGACTTTTTGGCCTTCAAAGAAGGGAGGAAACAACTTGGAGGCGGGTGCTTTTCGTGGGGGGGGGGGCGCGCAGCAAAGAAGCCATGTGCTTTTCGTCCGGGTAGCCTGGGTGTCTTCGCTCCTCGCGCTGCGCGGCGACTTCCCGCAGACGTTGAGAGGAGCTGCCGCGCTCAGGGTGCTCCAGGCTTCCCCGTCAGGTGCACCTCGCGCACGTGTTCTCAGGGTTGGGTTTCTTGCGAGGGTTTATTGCGATCGCGCCTGCACTGTATGTTTGGATTCACAGGATCCACTTTTACTTTGAGCGCCTTCTTGCTTCAAGAGTCGAGCGGCTTTCCCTCTTCCTTCCTCTGCAGGGGGTGTTCCCTCCTCTGCAGGGGGTGGGCGGCAGTCCAATCTGCTTCCAGCGCCTTCCTGCTCCATGTTTCTGCCTACTTCTTCCGACCGATGGGTATATGTACATCCCGTGGGGTGCTGCTGCAGGGCTCGTTTCGATTCCTCCAATTCGATTCGTCTTCGATGGTTGCCGATTCCGATTCGATCCGACTCGGGATTCCGATTCGGATGCTGATCTCTCAGTGGAGGCCTACTGGCCTGCCGATTTCTGCCGATTCGACTTCTCCCGACTTGGCTGCCGATTTGCGCCGATCCGATTAATTTCGATCGCCGATCTGACTTATCGATTCGACTCTGGGCTCACCTGCTGCTGGTTGGCTGTTCCGCCGCCGCCCAGCGGGCCTTTCGCGCAGCGCCATCGATCGCGCAGTGGCCGTGCCTATCCCGACGCCGTCGCGGACTGGTGCCACTCGATATTTCTGTTGCCGCATCCGGGCCTCGAGGTAATCTTTCTTTCCACGCATTTTTCCATCAAGGGCCCACGCATGCAATGATCGACGCGCGCCGCCGCCACATGAGGCGTTACTAGCGTCATGCATTTGAGGTAGTTGCCGACTGCTCTATTATGCTCGGATGCTCCCTGCCCGCGCCCAAAAGCCATATCCACGAGTTTGAAGCCGATGCTCGCGTCTCCTTCTTGCACCCCCCTCCTGTCCTCCCCTCTCCTTCCACGTCTCCCCTCTTCTCCTCCTCCCCTCTCCCCCCCTCGCCCCTTCCTTGCTTCTCGTGTCCTATCCTCCTCCTCCCCCCGTCGGCAGGAGCTGGTCCCGGGGAGGGGGCGAGAGCTCCAGGGGGGCGGCGGCCTGGGAAACATCGAGTCGTTGAGCGTCTTCGGGGGGATGGGCGAGAGAGGGGGAGGGGGCAGGGACGGAGGGCGGGGATGGGGGGCGGAGGGAGGGGAGGAGGGGGAGGAGGGGGAGGACGAGGAGGGGGAGGAGGGGGAGGAGGAGGAGGAGGAGGAGGAGGAGAAGGAGGAGGAGGAGGAGGAGGAGGAGGGGGAGGAGGAGGAGGACCACGATGAGGAGGGGGGTGCTTCCGTTCCCGAGCTCTTGCGAGGAAGACAGCGGGAAGCTGGAACAGCGAACACTGGAGAGGAGACAGAGTGCGAGAGAGAGAGAGAGAGAGAGACAGACATTAATGAACAATTCCGTATTCCGAATGCGAGTTTCTTTTTGGCGACGTTTGGTTGCTACAGGCGTCAACTTGCCTCACTCGTTTGTTTTTTCCAGAGATCAGGCAGCCCCTGATTATATCCATACAGACATTCATGAACACAACGGCCACATAAACAGAAAGACGACATGTGATCTGCATGGTTCTGAGAAGATTGGCAGGCGGTGATCTAGTGATCGCGTGATTCACGCTGTCGCATTGGCCCTCTTGGCGCATTTACCCCGTCCGCGCCGGTGTTCGAGCAGCATGGGCAGCATGGTGTATCGTTTGCGCGCCGAAGCACACGCTTTTGTCGCCCTGTGCACTTGTACTCAAGCTGCGGTTTACGGCGCTGGTTTGCGACCCCTGCGGGGCGTTGAAAGTAGCTACCGGGGGCCGCAGAGTGATCGCACGAAGAAGTGAAGGGTGCGTCCGTCCAGCCTTTAGCGACGCGTCATTAGTGCCCGCTGGTCCAAGGGGGCACGCGCGATGATGACACCGCCAAGCACAGTTTTAGGCTCATGCGGGGAGCGGCTCGTGTTGTGTTTCCATCGTGTCGTTCGCTCTCTGGAGTGGCAGAACTTTTGAGGGACATGTAATAAGAGGCCCGCGGCAACGACATACGGCCAGAAAGCGCGCGATCGCTCGACCCGAAGACCTGACAGTCCCGCCTGCTCTCTCCGTGCCGCGCTGGGGCCCCCTGGGGCCCCTGGGCCCCTCGCGCCCCAGGCGCCCGTCCTGCTCCTGCGCCGCCGCCCTCCAGTGGTCCATTTGGCCTTGACCATGGTCGTGGCAGCTGGTTCCACAGATCGTTGGATCAGGCCGCGCGACGTTGACAGTGCGATGTGAGTCATCCATGGGGACAGATCGTCTCCTCTGGGTATCGAGCAAATAAGGTTAGCGGCCTCAGTGCGTCTACCCAATTTGCGCGACTGGCGCCGTCGGCGCGCGTGCCATCCCGCGCGTGCGGGGCTGGCGCCCAGCCCCCAACCATGTGCTAGTTATGGTTATATTGTCTTCTCGTTCCCAAGGGGTAGAGACTATACAGAGTGATAGAGGGGAATCGAAAGAAACAGAGATACTTTGTAAGAAATATTATGATATTGAGATGGGGTATCAAACTAAACGCAGTTCATTGGAAGACTGTTTTTCTGGATCCCTAGAACACAATCTACTTCAAGCGCCTTCCTACTTCTAGTCTCGATATGCACAGGTCGTTGTTAATAATTGGGCGGGCCCGAACCCGGCCTATTTCGCCTTCCTACTGCATTTTTCTACCTGCTTCTTCCGACCGGCATCGCGATGACGGTGTAGTACTCTTTAACATATATATATGTGTATATATATAACAACCGATCTTCTCCGCGCAATGCTTGCCTTTGGGGGCACTCACTTGGCTCTGAAGAAACTGGTCAGGAGGGGAAAAACACACAGATACAATGAATCGTCGATCCCCAGGAAAATATACGAAAATACGGGAAGGGGGGGGGGGAATACAACACCCAGAAAACATCTGGAAATATGGGGAATCCTGTTGTTCGTGTGTATTTTTTTGTGTGTCCTCGGCAACTCGCCGGCTGGTCTGCCGCCCTCGCCGGCTTGTTCCCGCCCCGTCGCTGCCCCTTCGCCGCCTCGGCGCCGCCCCGTCGCCGCTCGTCGCCGCCTCGTCGCCACTGCGTCGCCACTGCGTCGCCGCCGCCTCGTCGCCGCACCACAGATAGGTTGCTCCACAGAGCTTGCACGATGGCACCTCCCCCTCCCCCCCCCCAGTTTTGTCTTCTTTCTGTATTGCTGTTGGCGAATGTTTGTGCCTTATCGTCCGCAGGGAATGCCACGACGTGCGCGCGCGCGCGTCGTCGCGCTCGCATGCTGAAATCCTTCAAACACGTGAGGTGTCGTGAGTATTTTAAACTCGATTGTCCCGACATTATATAAACACTTATGGTTTTGCAACATCGCCCTTCAACGAAACAAGCTTGCGCTCGCGGTGTTGCGAACTTTTATGAATGCCGCGCGTGTCTAAACAAATCGTTGCATTCTGCCAAACGGGCCTCTCGCGCCGCATGTCGGAATCGTTCGAAAGCCCTGGCGCGCGGGCGAGTGGGGGGGCACGATCCGTGTCAAATAAAACCATGCGGGCCACTCGCGCGCGTCGGTCGCGCGCGCAGGCGAACTCCTTCCAGATACTTCACCGAGGTGAGGACGCCGTCATCGTATTCGGCGTGGGCAGCATCGGCGACGTCACTGGCCGTGCCATCGTCGTTTTCATCGTTGTTGCCGCGTTTGCCAGTGTCGACGTTACCATGATACCGCGCCCGCCCAAATCGCCGACTTATACTGCTGTGCCCGCTGGGAAGTGCCCAACGGTCAGCACTACCGCGGCCGGGTCGGTCGCGCCAATCTAGTTGGCCGCTTGGCGCGCCAGCATGCGCGCTAGCGCGGCCGCGGCGATGCGCCAGCCAACGCCGAGCAGTCATCGCAGTCGCCGCCGCACGGGTTTTGCAAACCAAGGGGCGGGTGGGTGGGTAGGATGATTGCGCGAGCGTTTGAGCGGACGGTACAAGTTCGGCAGGGTGAATTCTCTTTTAGACTCCACCCCCCGGGATTATCCGCTCTGTTTTCCGTATAACAGTGTACATATGGTTTTGCCCCATCGTCCATCCCAGCCTGCACCACATAGTTTGCACCACTTAGCGTGCACCACATAGATCGCAGCACGTAGGCTGCACAACATATAGTGCACCACGTAGACTGGTCAACCTAGAGGTTGCACCACGTAGATTGCACCATATAGACCACAACGATTGCACCACGTTGGTTGCATCACATCGCCCACACCACATAGATCGCACCACGTAGCCCCCCTGTAATTAGATCCACGTAGCTCACACGGCGAATGTTGCACCACGTAGATTAGACCGCATCGGTTGCACCACGTATCTTTGCTAGAACACAATGTTTTTTGTCCACGCTCTCTGCGATATGTATGGCGGCGTTTTCAAACTTCCGTGTCCTGCCATCCCGTTTGCCGTCAATGCCACCGTCCGTTGGCATTCTTCTCAAGCTCTTTTTCCGACGGCCGGCACATGTACTCTCGACTGAGAGGATTAGTCACTTCGCTCGGTGCCATAGTTGGGACAAACTTCAGTGGTTTCATTGGAGCTGCGGGGGGCATCAGCAGTCTCGCGCAGCAGGTGACTGACTGCGCTGTACTGGAGCTGGGTGCACAGTGGGCCCCCACTGCTCTTCTGCTGGTCGCGACGTTCGGTTTCTTGGTGGGCGTGCTGTGTACGTGCTGCTATGTCCAGCAGTGCCCTGCGAGTCGGGCGCCGCCTCAACCTACAGTGGGGAGGGGGCGGGACTTGGCAGGCCCGCATCGTCGTCGGTCCGGCCACACGGAAGGATCTCAGCGACGTCATGGAGATCGAGGCGAGCGCCCAGCAGGAGGCCGACGGCAAGATTTGGTACCTTTTGAGCCCGGACCTCGACGTTTACCCAGTGCTGGTGGACGCCCCGGACCTGCGCGGCTACGAGCTTCTGGACAACGACGGGAGCGTGCTGTTGAGGTCTGGGCTCCGCCGGGGCGCGAGACCGGTGTACGGCTCCGAGTGGGTGCCTACCGCGCTGGAGCTGGTGGACGCGATGGAGGCGGTGGCCCCGCGGGTCAGGCCCGAGCACAGGATGTCCAAGAAGGGTCCGCTTCCTCCGACGGGGGCAGCAGTGCAGACACCTACGGACTTGGTGAATATAGTGACTGGGAGTGAAAGGCTCCCGGAGGTCAAGCCGCTGCGCTGGTACGTCACGGCGGGGCCCAACAAGTCGGAGATCGACGGCCTCTTCCCCCACTCCGTGGTGGACGAGTTCGCGCGCTCGGATGACATGGCCATCGCGGTTGTCGGCACCGGCGTGTACACCCTCAGAGCCCTCGACCCGAAGGAGGGCGTCGTGCAGGTCATCCGAGACGACCGCCTGCTAGCCATGGCGAAGGACAGCAGCGGGATCCGCAAGAAGCTGTTCAGGGACGCCGTGCTGGAGGTCACGGAGAGCCCGTGGCCAGGGTGGCCGCTCTTGGGGCCGCGCACCACGGCGTGGTGCGTCCGCTTCATTGCAGAGCAGGACAGCCACCCCCGGGCCCGCCACACCAAGTGGCTGCACGAGACGGGGCTCACCCAGTCGGACCCGGGGGTGGCTGATCATGAAGTCGCCATGCGGGCCTTCGAGTTCGGTCTCGTGTATGACCAGGTGAACGTGGGGGAGCTCGTGAGTTTCGAGCTGCTGGCCCGGCGGGCGCAGATGGCGGAGTGGCGATACCGCGACCGCCTGGCGCCCCGCCGGGCCGACGAGACCGCGGAGGACGAGCACCTCTACATGGGCACGGGGGAGACGAGGGGTCTCATCATGATGGCCCCGTTCTTGGTGGAGCACATCTCGACGGAGCTGCACCGGGAGAGCCAGGTGATGAAGGAGAAGAGGAAGTTGAGGGAGGAGCGCCAGCTCGCCAAGGGCACTGGCGCCGACGGCGACACGAAGGAGAGCCTTCGCAAGAAGGTCGAGAGTCAAGCTGCGGAGCTTCGCCGGCTTCAGCAGCAAGGGGGTAAAGGAGACCCCGCAGGCGGCCGCGATACCGGCGGCCGCGGCGCAAAGTGACGACGCCATGCCCGCGCCCCGGGAGCTGCTGCCCGTGCCGCTCCCGCAGGCGCCCTTCGACAGCAGCGGGCCTTCAAGCTCATGCTGTCGTGCCGTGCGTTCTCGTCTTCGCCGCCACCGGCACGTCGACGGGTGGAGCATGGAGGTGCATCAGGCGCTCAACTGTCTCCACGGACGAGGGGACGCCGATCCTGGGTGCCCGCCCACTCTAGGGCAAAGTTTTGGTTCTGACCACGTGCGAGCTGCTGTTCAAAGCATCGGGGCTCCTACGATCACAGGCGCGGCAGCCTTCAAGGAGCTGTGCGCCAGCAAGCCCGGCTACACATCGACGCCGGTGAAGCCCGCCGCCTTCCAGCGCGACCTCGTCGCGCTGCCCTCGCCCGGCGCCAAGTGCGATGGCGCCTGCATCCTGCAGGGCGAGGCGCTCGACCTTTGGGAGGATTGGCAGCAGCGGTTGTTGCGGAAGAGCCCAGATGTCTCCGCCGTGAAGCCGCATTGCGACGCGAAGCTGATGCAGAGCAAGTCCAGCTACGCCCACTTCGTGGCTGACTTGTACGACGCCGGGCTGGTGAAGTTCGGCTCGTTACGTGAATCTACCCTTGGAATTTTCTTCGTTCCAAATCTGATGGGAAGTTGCGGCTTATATTTGACACGCGTCGGGTCAACCAGCTCTTTGAGCCTCCTGCGCACACGGCGCTGCCTACGGCTGGCTGCTAGAAGGGGTTGCTCTTGGAGCCTAGTGACGAGCTGTGCCTCTCGCAAGTTGATGTGGAGGCTTGCTTCTACCGCATGCGTGCACCTCCCGGGATGGAGGAGGTTTTCGTCTTGCCCCCGCTGGACTGCGGTGCGCTTCGCCGAGTTCGGCCAGACATCGCCATCGGCGGGGACGTGACATGTTCTCCCTTGCTCATCGTTCTGCCTATGGGTTGGAACTGGTCACTGTTTTTTTGCCAAGAGATGGTCACACAGTGCGTGCAGCGTGCTGGTTACCCGCCGTCCCGTATTATTGAAGACAAGCGGGCGACTCCATCCCTGGTCGGCCAGACCGCTGCAGCGGTGTATGTCGACGGAGTCGCAGTGATTGGCACGCAGAGCGCGCAGACCGTGCAGGACTGTCGTAGCATTGCCGAATCCCTCCTCGCAGTGGGCCTGGTCACCAAGGACATGGAGCTGCCACAGGACGAGCAGCCGTTCACCGGGCTCATCTTCGAGAAGGGGTCCGGGCGGATCTCCCTCTCGCGCAGCCGGATCTGGAGGATCCGACGGGCCTTCCAGTTTGCCGCCGAGGCCGACAAGCTCACCGGCGTGCAGATGCGCATGCTCCTGGGGCACTACACCTGGGCAGCCATGCTGAGGAGGCCGCTGCTGTCCGTCTTCGCCGCCTGCTACTCCTTCGCGGAGAAGGCCGGGGACATGGCATGGCGGCCTTGGGCTACTGTACGTCACGAGCTCAGGCTGGGCGCGGCGCTGGTGGCGATGGCTTTTGTAGATTTGCGTCGGCCAGTCGCCGCCACTGCACTGGCTACCGACGCTTCTGGCGGCGCACGGCAGGGCCGCAGCCTGGCCCCAGATTTGGCGCCGCCAGGGCTCGAGTCGGCCACCGCTGGCGATCATGGGGGCTTCGGCGTAGTCAGCCGCGAGGTCCCCCGCTGCGCCGTGGCCGCCGCCCTTCAGCTCAGCGAGAAGTGGAGATTCAAGACGCTCGACTTTTTAGGGGCCCGGGCATCAGCGCTCGGCCTCAAGGATGATCCTCACGACGCTGCTGCGCAGAATCATCCTCCTCCTGTGAAGCATCATCACGTACCGCCATCTGGGATGGGAGCGTATGTCAACGAGCCTTCATCATCGACGTCGCCACCACATCGCTACGTCATCACCTGGGAGGAGGAGCAGAAGTTTTACGAGATCGGTAAGAGTATATTGGGTTCTCAAGAAGACTGGAAGGTTTGTTTCTATGGGCGGTTCAACAGGGCCGCCGACATCGTTATCCTGGAGGGGGAGGCTCTGGTCATGGGGGTCCGCCACTTCGTTCGCAACACTGCCAACCATGGACGTCGCCTGCTGCTGCTATGCGATAACATGGGGCTGGTGCTCGCATCAGGCAAGGGGAGATCTTCGGTGCCGTCGCTCAACCTCGTGCTTCGTCGGCTCGCTGCGATCTCCATCTTTGCCAATATCGATATCACAGTACGGTGGATCCCTTCAGAGTTGAATCCAGCAGACGCCCCTTCGAGACTCCCAGCAGCCAGGGCTCAGGACGCCCGCCTCGACCTCCGCTCTTTTGGAGGCCGCCCTGCACCAGAGCCCGACGATGGCTCGCTATGGCGAGCCGCTGCGGAGGCGCTCGCCGCAGAAGGGCGCCCGCGGCGGCGCGACCCTGGCCTTGCCGGCCTCGGCGACGCTGCGGCGCCCGCAGCGCTGGCAGGGGGCTTCGGGGCCCACCGGGGGGGCATCGGCACGCAGCCGAGCGACTCCTCGGACAGCGACTCGGAGCCGGAGTCCACGGCCAGCTCGAGTGACGCCAGCCCCAGCGGAGAAAGCTACAGCACGAAGAGCGAGGTTGGCGGCCGAGCGGACCAGGACGGCACGCACCACCACATTGGTGCAGCCGACCGGGACCGCGCTCACGTACCTGCAGGCGCGCAAGATCAGGGCCTCGTCCAACGTGCACTTCGTGACCTCGTACCGGAACTTCGACAACTGGTGCCAGACGCACGCCGTGCCCGTTCAGACCGCCAACGAGATCGACAAGGCCATCAGCGAGTACATGGACGTGCTCTACTTCGACGGGATGCCGTCGGACGTCGCATCGAAGACGATCGCGGCCGTCCGGCACTTCCGCCCCGCGGCGGTGGGCGAGGCCGAGTTGGCGGCCAGCAGGGCCGCGCTGAAGGGCTTCCGCTTGCTCGCCCCAGCCCGCACGCGCCAGCCGCTGGTCCGCGAGGCGGTCTTCTGCCTGATAGGGCTGGCGATGCTGGACGGCGAGTCGGGGTTCGCGGAGGCCCTCAGCTTGGCATGGGACACAGCCCTCCGCTTGCCCAGCGACCTGATGCAGTTGCGAAGTCCGCCCCTCGTGCCGCCGCAGCCCCGCATGGAGATCTACGTGTGGAGCCTGCTGCTGTGCCCAGAGGAGACCGGCCTGCGCAGCAAAGGGAAGCAGTTCGACGAGGGGGTCCAGCTCACGCCAGCAGGATCGAAGGCGTTAGGCCCTGCCCTGGCGCGCCTACGGGAACGCCCAGCCCTGGCGCCCCTGTGGGACCTCGACGCCAGGCGATTCGGCCAGCTCTTCAAGAAGTACGCAGAGATGATCAACCTCAGGGACCCGCACCCATACCGGGTGCGACACGGCTCGGCGAGCTGGGACATCGCCAGCGGGACGCGGAGCCTCGAGGAGGTGCAGGCCCGCCTTCGGCACGCCAGCGCGACCAGCACCCAGCGGTACAGCCGAGCTGCTCGCTACACCGCGGAGCTGGAGCTGGCGCCCGAGTCGGTCAAGGCCTTCGGCGCCGCGGTGGCGGACCAGTGGGCCTTGACGCTCCAGGGCCGAGGCCGCCTGCCGCCCCGCCCGCGGCGCCCAGAGAAGCCGTGGTGAGCAGGAGGCCAGCAGGCGACACATACCAGCCCAGTGATCTTTTGCCCCTATCCTCCCTCCGCAAGCGTATGCAGAAGTTGTTTGATGCTGCCCGCAGAGGCCGCAATCGCGCTCAGGTGTTTCTTGATCTTTTCGCCGGTGAAGGCAGTGTGGCTAGCAAAATTCGTTCGAGTACAGAATATGGTGTAGTCTCTATCGATATTAGATCTGATCCATGGCTTGATTTGTCTGACATTCGTCTTGTCCGTATCCTTATAGGTTGGATCGGATGCGGTGCTGTGCGCGGCATATGGATCGCGCCACCCTGCAGCACCTGGTCAGTGGCCAGCCGCGGCAGATACAGGTCTCCTCTTAATATCTACGGACACCCTGATCTCGATCCCCAGGGGTTTGCCCGTGCCCAGCTCGGAAATGTTCTGTTGAAGCACTCCCTGTTAGTAGTCACCGCCTGCCTCAAGAGGGGAATGCCTGTTGCACTCGAGAACCCTATGTCCAGTCTGATGTGGCAAGAGCCCCTACTTTCTCACTTACTCACCTTGCCGTCTTGTAATACTACCGTTTTTGACTTTTGCGCTCACGGGACGCGTTGGAGAAAAAGCACCCGCCTGGCATCGTGGCACTGCGGCGCAGCCCCTGAGGCGCTGGCCCGCCGTTGCCATGGCGCCGGGGTCAGGTGCTCCTTCTCTGGCCGTCCCCACATTTCTCTCGAGGGTAAAGCCCCTTGCGGGCGGCACTGGACCTCTATAGCTGAGCCGTACCCGCCCTCCGCTGCCCGTGCAATGGCCCGTTGGCTATCGCGTGCCGCGGATCGGATTCACCTCGAGAATTTGTCCCGTGTGTGTAACTGACATGTGCCGGCCAGAGGCCAGGTTTGGGTCTTTGGGCACTCCAAGCACGTGCTTCATGGTGGAGCCCGCCGGCCAGCCCGCCGTTCTCCATATAGATCGAACCATCTCTGGTGAAGAAACGGGTGGGACATGGCGGCGTTTTCAAACTTCCGTGTCCTGCCATCCCGTTTGCCGTCAATGCCACCGTCCGTTGGCATTCTTCTCAAGCTCTCCTCCTCCCTCCCCTCCTCCGTGTTAATGTTTGCGTTAATGATCTGCTGGGCACTCCAAGCACGTGCTTCATGGTGGAGCCCGCCGGCCAGCCCGCCGTTCTCCATATAGATCGAACCATCTCTGGTGAAGAAACGGGTGGGACATATCTATATATGTATACGCATGTGCACCTGGCATCGTGTTTCGCATACGCTGTATGCAGAGAGACAGAGACGGATAGATAGAGAGAACGGCTGATCTAGAGAAACGAGAGCGAGGGAGTGGGAGAGAGACGAGACGATTGACCATGCTGGTACGTATGATGGACATGCTGATCGTCATGACGATCCCGGTGATGGTGCTGCTGCTGGTGCTGATGTTGTCGATGTTGGTGTCGCTGGTTATGGTTAAGATGCTGTAGACGACGACAACGTTGATGATTATGATGATGCTGATGGAGATGCTGATGATAACGATAACGATGACTGTGGTAGTGATGCGGATGGTACCGATTCTACGGATGATGTTTCTGTTGATGTTGATGAGGATGGTGGTTGTGGTGACGACGACGACGGCGAGGATGACTAGGTTGATGATGATAGGGATGGTTACGATGATGATGCTGAGGATGATGCTGCTATTGTTGATGATGATGCTGTTGCCGATGATGATGAGAGTGGTGACGATGGTGATGATTTTGCTGATGGTGATGGCGATGGTGGTGACACTGATGGTGGTGAAGGTGGTGATCAGGTGATGATGATGGTGATGCTTATGATGGTGCTGTTGATGATGATGATGTTGATGATGATGATGATGATGATGATGATGATGATGATGATGATGATGATGATGATGCTGATGGTGATGGTGATGGTGATGGCTGTGGCGATGATGGACATGCTGATGATGATGGTGGTGCTCGTGGCTATGAAACGGATGATGATGACGAGGATGACGGTGACGGTGTTGACGATGTTGACGATGACGGCGATGATGACGATGACGATGGTGAGGATGTTGATGATGACGATGATGATGATAATGATGATATTGATGCTGATGATGCTTATGATGGTGGTGATGATGATCATGATGATGAACATGACGTGAGCGAGGAGATGAGGAGGCGGAGAAGAAGGAAGACGAGGAGGGTGAGGGCTGACTCCACAGACTTCAAACTGAAGCAAACAGTAGTTGGATGTGGCTGCGGTGGGGGTTCCAGCCCCTGGCGTGTTTTGTTGGCTGTTGTTTTCTTTCCCCCAGCGGGGCCCTCGTCCACCGCCCATGTTTTGAGGCCAAGGCCGGCCACTTCGAAACAGTCATCGCGGCGATCGACAAGACGATGCAGGACGCTCCTGGGTGTCATCGCGTGCCCCTCCATCTGGGTTGCTCCCGCTGCTGCCACCCCCCCGTCTCAAGAAGCGTTGACACGTCACGTCCAGGGGCGGCGTTCTGACCAGACCTCCGAGGCGAGCCCAGCCGTGGCGATCTCCTCGATCCCTGGGGCGCTCTGGTCCGACCGGACTCCGTGCCAGCACCGGTCCCCAGACCGCAGGGCATTTGGCCGAAAGCGGGCGGAGGAGGGGAGGGGAGAGCAGAGGGAAGGGGTGACAAATGGTAAGAAGAGGAGGAGGAGGAGTAGGAGTAGGAGGAGGGAGAGGAGGAGGAGGAGGAGGAGGAGGAGGAGGAGGAGGAGGAGGAGGAGGAGACATTGAGGAGTGAGGAGGAGAGGGGGGAGGGACCAGGAAGAGGAGGAATAGGACGTTGAGGAGGAGAGTGAGGATGAGAGGGGGAGGGACCAGGGGGAGGAGGGTTAGGAGGAGGAAGAGGAGTGATCATGACGAGGAGGAGGAGGAAGAGGAGGAGGAGGAGGAGGACGAGGAGGAGTTGGAGGAGGAGGAGGAGGAGAAGGGGGGGGAGGAGGAGGGGGATTTGGGGTGAGGGATGGGGGGTATGGCGAAGGGAATGGGAAGGAAAAGGAGCAGGACGACTGAGGCCCTGGGATAATGACAGCGCAATGCTAATCGGTGGGTGGCATGGGGGGTGGGGGTGGGGTGGGAACGGCAGGAGGAGGAGGGGGATGGCGGGAGCGGCAGGCGGAGGGGGGAGGGACGAGGAGGAGCAGGAGGAGGATGTGAAGGATCAGGGTATGAACTCATCCCTTTCCCTTTCTCCTCTTTGCTGCTTTTCCTTCTCCTTCCCCGCCGTCTTTATTCCCCCCTCATTGCTTCTCCTCCTCCTCCTCCTCTCCTCCTCCTTCCTCCTCCATTGCCATTTTGGCCCAAGCCGCTGGGGCGCGCTTGAGCGGGCAACCTCTCGAGGGGCCATCCTGCGTAGGTGTCGTGCCTTGGCGGACAGTTGCTGTATTCTCGCTGCCGCCATGCCGCTCTCTCCAGCGGATCTGGTTGCCATGGGCCAGCTGATCGGCACCCAGCTCCAGCCGCTGAGAACTGACCTGGCGGGAGTCGTGGGCCAGGTCAAAGCCATGAACGGAAAGTTCGAAGCACATATTGCCGAGCTCAAGCTAGAACAAGCGAGCTTGAAGGTCGAGTTAAACCAGGGAAGGAGCTTATACTGGACTGGCTTTGGGGGCGCACCGACGCCTGGCACTTCGATTCCTCCGTTGGACGATGGTCGACCTGAGCCTGCCACCCCGAAGTTAATGACCGTCGCCGTGCTGGACGCCAAGGTGGCTGCCAGGGAGAATGCAATCAAGACCAGCCTCGCCTCTCCGCGTACCCCTTCTTCGCTCTCGACATCTTCGGCTCCGTGGAGCACCTTCGGCGATGCGCCCAACACCAAAAAGGAGCCGTGGCTGGGCAGTTATGTCTGGCGTTGCCCCTGCTGTTGCGCCGACGGGCCCGCGCGCGCGGTGGGAACGGCGACGTGAGCGACAGGTGCCAGGTATAGGCCAGGGGCTTCCCGCGCAAGCTTCCGTCGAGGGCGTCCCATTCTAGTTCGAACTACTACGTGTTGCTGTCGCTGAGCTTCGAGTTGGAGCTTTTGTGCTCCTGAGCTGCTGTTCCTGCGGAATCTATGCGTGACGAGTTGTCCCAGCACCACGCATGGCAGGTTTCATTCTCGCTGGGCGCTAGCACTCCCACTTTTCTCTGCACCCAGCTGGCCGCGACAGTGGGGATATCCACGACCTCGTGAGACTCGCCCGCGGCGATGAAATAGGCGGCGTGCGCGAGTCTTTCACAACATCCAGGTTTGATGACGCGACGGGCATTGGTCTACCCATCGGGGTAGTCATCTCCTTCCCCGAGCTGATCCAGAGCACGCCGCGTTGCCAGCGTGGTTGGCATCTACGACGTGCTGAACTGGAGTGTCAACGGGCAGTTCGCGGCATTTTGCACGCGCCCCTTTCGGGAGGTTCGGCATCCACCTCGTCGGGTTTGGAACCGACTCCGTCGGCAGTTCCGACTGCCTCCTCCTCCGCGTCTCCTGTTTCCAATTGTGTTTTTTTTTTCTCTTGTGAGCAGGAGTATGGTTTTTCTGAGAATGCAGGCGTCGAGCTTGTGCTTGGCATTCACCGCGAGGTGGAGCAGTTCTCTCTGTCCGCTCCTCCTTGGTTTCGTCTGGCCCCCGAATGCTGCTCCAGCCTTGGCGCGTCTCGGGTAACTTGGGCTTATCAAGTCGGAGTTCAGCTGCTCTCTTTGGAAGTGCGTTGGGTGGTCGCGCCCGTCGGTGCAAGAAGCGCGCGCGCGCTCGTCTTCTCCTCAGGCGGTATATGATTGTTTTCCGCGCAGCAGAATCATGGGTCCATGGCCGGCTTCAGCGACGCGGACAGAGTGCGCCCCAGTGAAGTTCTCGGTTCCTATTGTCCGGATCACCGCGCAGGGGGCGCTGCATTTCGCGTCGCCAGGTCGCTAGGTGCTTTGCCTCTCTCCCCATTGTTGTCATATTCGCGTTCGGGGCGGAGTATTGTTTTGCATGTGGGCGTTTTTTCCTTGGGGGGCATCCATCATGAACCTGACTTGGCACGTCCTGAGGCAAGGCTTTCTTGCGTGAAGTAGCTCGGGTTCTCCTTCAGCGGCGTCGCGCCCCCTGCGTCGTGGGCGGCGACTGGCATTTCCGCGAGCAGGATGGGACTTGTCGCCGTGTCGGGGGGGGGGGGGGGGATGCCGGCGACGGGCAGCGAGTCTGCTCTGCTCGATTGGTTTGCCGCTGCCTCCGAGCGGCGCGTTGAGATGGGGCAGGTTGCGGCGGCGCGCTGCGCAGCGCGGGTGGACGGTGCCGCCCCTCAGCTTCATTCCCTCGCCGTCGGTGCGTGAGCGCGCCGACTCATGGAGTTTCCGATTGGCGCGCGCGTGCTGGACTGGGCGGGCATGCCCGCGACCTCGCGTTCCCGTCGGATTGCGCGCCTCTGTTTGTTTAGATAGGCCGCAGTGCTTCGCGCGCCCCCTATTTTCCGCGATGGCGCGCCCGACGCCCGTGCTCTCTGGTCCTACTAGATCAGACCTTGGACGAGTAGGTATACGCACCCGAGCCCTACCTGGCCATAGAAGATACACTGTGGTTGGGTTACCCAAGGCGTGCATCTCCAATCTTGGTCCCCATCATGTTTCGCAGGAGATCGCTGTGCCTCTGCAGTTCGCGCGCACGGCTCGTGCTGTCGGAAGAGACATTCCGGGGCGGGGCTTGGACGCGATGCTTACTTTGGGAGGGCGCCGCGACTTGGGGCAGGAGGTGTTCTTTTTTTTGCTACAAGTCAAGTCCCATGGCCTCCTTGGGTCTCGGCGCCGCTCCAGAGTTGTGACCGCGCTGGCCCCGTCGCGCCTGGGCGCGTTTGAAGGGCGCGGGGGGAGGGGCGGCATTGCGGGCCCAAATCTCATGGCGATGATCTGCCCGATGACTTGCCCGACGATTTGCGCGCAGGCCTCTCTCGCCAAGCAGGCGGGGCTCTCGCGGCAGAAGGGGGGTGGAACAACGGGGTCCACGGATCGTCGCCTGCTCTGGGATTGCGAACTCGACTGGTCCGGAAGCGTCCAAGTGTTCTCATATGATTGTAGCTCGGTCTCTTTGTCATCAGAAGTTCATCAATTTCGCCGCTCGCGGCCCCAGTTGCAGCGGCCAGATGTGCGTTTCACATCTGGTCGCCGACCTCGCCAGTCATTGGGGGCCCGCGTGGCAGCGCTCCCGCGCGCGGTGTTCATCGCTGGTCATGAGCCGTGGATCCAGGAGTGGCGCGTCTGGCGTGGATTCCAAATGCTGGCGCCCTCTTTCTGGACATTGCCACGCCCCCCCCCCCCACCCCACCCCCTTCAGCCGCGGGTGGGTCTTCCAGGTGTTCGAGGGGATGGTGCCCCTTGGACGCATTGCGCAGGCAGTTGCGTTTCTGCATTCCGATATCGAAGTGAGTATTTTGTCTCGCGGGGTGAAGTCTCCAGGTTGGGCCGCGCGGAGAGCCGCGAAGCAGGGGTGTCCTCTCGCCGCGCATGTATTCATTCCAGCGACTAACCCTATCACGCGCACGCGCGACCAGCGGAGTGACCCAAATTGCTCGCCACTGCTCTCTTGCAGATGACGGTCGCTGTGCCTTTCGCGACGCGCGCCTCTTTCTGGCTGTCATTATTGCGGGAATGTTTCAACGCTGTCGTCGCCGAGCTTCGTCTGAACCCAGCAAGTGTTGTTGTTGTTGTTGTTGCGTGTGTCAGTGTGGTTTTGTAATTCCGGGGCTTTTGGGCAATGCGGAAGCCGCGCGTTTTTTCGGGCCCCGGGGGCGTCCAAATCTTCCATTGTGGGAAATACCTTGGCGTGTTCTTGGGCCGTGGAGGACGCGACGAGATCCGGGAGGTCCCGCGCGCCAAGCTGCCTGATCGAGCATCTCCCACTTGCTCGCCCCATCTCCCGTTATTTCACAAACGCATTCACAAGCGTAGTGCGCGTGATGCCCGTGGTCTTTCTGTTCCTCCACCCTGTCGCCGAGCGCGCGACGGCCGCTGAGCGCACTGTGCTACGGCGGCTCACGCGCGCGCCGCGCCATGCCATAAAGAGCTCCATTCTGCGAGATTTTGGGGATGTTGCAGTGGCGGCTGCGCCTAGGGATTTGGCCCGGTCCGCTCGTGCTTCCATGTTTCTCGCCACCTCGGGGCCTTGAGGGCTCGGTGATGCAATGGCGCGTTTCTACTGGATGATCCACGGGGTCTGTGTCGCTGGTGTCCGCTTTGTCCCCAGTTCCCCTACTTGGTGGAAACAGTCGGTCGCTCACAATCTGATGCGATGCTGGAGGCGGATCGCAGCGACTGCTCCCGCGCTAGGGCTCCCTGGCGCTAGTAGGCGACAGAGAAAGACATGTAAGTTCCGTCGCTTGAGGTATCCTCCTCCTGTTCCTTGTCCTGATATACGGAGCAGCGTGATATACTTTTAGCATGAACCCCTCCCTTCTGTCGGTGATCGTGTAATGAAAAATCCGCTCATCGCAGAATGTAAGCTCGTTTCCTGTATTGGGAGTGTATATCTTCGCGCTGTTTGTAATGCCTGGCCCAGCACTCGCAGGTTCCGACAGGGAGCTGATCTCTGCAGGTTGCTGTGCGGTCGGGGGAGGTGAGACGGGTGGATTGTTTTTTTCTTGTCCGTCCCTGTTCCCTCTGCTGTCGCCTCTTGTCCGTGCCCCGCCGTCTTGTTTCTCGCGTCGTTTCCCATGCAGCGAATGATCGTGCGCGAAATTTCTGAGACCGTGCTTGAATGCCGGTTGGCCATGGGAACGACACGTTGTTCAATATTTGCCACGTATAACCCCATGCGAGCTGTCGGGAAATATGGACCCAATGCGGTGGTGCCCCTCCCCCGAGCTCGCAGTCGAATGGTGGCCCGCGAACGCACTAAAATACGTGTTTTTGCACCCGAAGCGCCCATCGAAATACAGACCCACGACAAGGTGAACGTTTTTCCTCCTCCTTTTCGTCCTCTTCCTCCTCGTCGTCCTCCTTGTCCTCCCCATATCCTCCCTCTCTCCTGCCTTTTGCTCTTTCTCTTCCTGTCCACCCCACCCATCATCCTCCATCCTCCCTTTGTCACCCTCCTTGTTGCCTCCTTGTTTCTCATGGGCGCTTCGATACAATCCCGCCACCCGCGTCGGCAAGGCGGGCGGGGCGGTTCGCCCGAGACTCGGTGAGGGAACTCGGGACAGGCTGGCTAATCGCAGCATCGTTCGCGCATTGCCTCCGGTCCTCCTCGGCCTCCATCCGACCCGCCTCTCCCAGATTGCCCTTTGGATCATTTTTTGGGGGTGCGTTCAGCTAAGGTTCTCAAGGCGGAGCCCGCCGCGGTAACGAGCGCCCCCCCCCCGCTTGAAGGCCGCACACCATCAAAGTGGTTTGAAGCAGCACACCACAATGTTTTTTTCTCTCATTTTCTTCTCCTCATCCATTCCTCCCCTTCCCCCATGTCCTCATCCTTTTCCCACTCCTCCTCCATTCCTTTTTTCCTCCTCCCAGAGGAAGTGGAGGATGGGGAGAATGGAGGAGGGGAGGGGGGAAGATAATGAGGAGGAAGGACCTTGGGGGGGGGAGGAGAGTGAGGAGGGGTTTGAAGATTGCCCGGTGCGCGCTGTCCTTTTCATATCACGGGCCGTGGGCCCCAGCAAAGGGTCGGCGACGGGGTTGGGGGCTGGTCCGCCAGGCCCCCTCCCTGCAGTGGTCCTGCGGCCGAAAAGATCAGCCCACGTCGAACCATTGGCTCAGGTCAGGGGCACGTGTGGGGAGATTGGGTCAGGGTGGCCACTCTTCTTCCACCTCCTCGTCCTCCTCCTCCGCCTCCTCCTCCTCCTCGCCCTCCCCCTCCTCCTATTTCTTCTCCTTGTCGTCCTCCTCCTTCACCTCCTCCTCCTCCTCCTCCTCCTCCTCCTCCTCTTCCTCCTCCTCCTCTTCTCCGCACATTCATCGTCGATAGGTTGAGTACGGCCGATTGCTGAGATCTCCTTCCTCTGCAGGGCCATTAAAAAAGGGACGTCAGCGTGGTCAAGCGCCTCGCTGGTCAAGCCGACGGAGACGTGGAAAGTCCAACCATTCGCTTATGTTTCAAATCTTGGCTGAACGCCGTGTGTGGTGCATCAGTTCTAGCTTGGCCGAACAGGTTTGTTGCGCCCCGTGACGTCCGTTTGGGGTGTTCTGCAGGCCTGACCCCTCAGCCCACCCAACTGCCTAATCGGGAGCATGAGGATTCGCTGTCGGGAGCCTATCGCCGATCTATCGGCGATGTGTCGCCGGCTCCAGCGCGTTGAGCCCCCGCCTCAGCTGGTCCCCCCCTTGTCGTTCGCCCTGTCCCAGGATCGAGGATCGTGGAGCGGCAGTGTTGGACCTCGGGTGGGTACCCACCGTTCGTTGAAGGTATCCTCGTTTGGATTTTCAAATTCCAGCCCTAATCATGAAATGAATGAGCAAATTGTTGTCCAATTCCTTGACTTTTTCATTGTTTGGGCGGAAGTCTCCAACACATTAGAAGGATCCAATAATTGGGAAGGCCTAGCGGCTGGTGCCGCCGACCCTGAAGGGAGACGGCGACGACGACGGCGGCGGCGGCGGCAGCGGCGACGACGACGCTGACGCTCTGGAGCCTTTCTTGGGGCTCTCTTGGTAGCCTCTGGGGCTCTGTTGGTGCTTGGGCTGGGGCCGCGGCTGGGGTCAGGGCAAGGGCTGGGGCCAGGGCCGAGGCCGAGGCTGGGGTCACGGCCGGGGATAGCTAGGCCAAGGCTCGGTACTTTTGAGGCCGAGGTTGGGGGCACGGCCCTCCGAGAAGCCGTCTCTGTCTCTGGAGAATGTTCAGGAAGCTTCTCAGAAAGCAGGAGGCCTCATTACTGTCTGCGGACGACCTGTATGCGCCGTACCGTGCTGGTGTCTCCAGAGGGGTCGCCAATCCTCGACACCCAGGAGTGGCGTTGACGGGGCATCATAGTTCTTTCGGTCCTCGGGGCCGAAAAAAATTGCGCACCGTACCGACCTGCAGCGGGGCCCGACGGGAGTCCAAGCGTGGTGCGGCGCATGGGCTCCGTTCTCTCGTACGCTGAGCTTTCTGTGAAGTCGGGCCTGCCCCTCTACAGAGGGAGAATTCAAAAATAATGAAAACATAGCCTGGGGACGATTTTTTGATTATTTCTTTAGTATGTTGGGGCATGTTTTGTGTACCCCGACGGGGGTCAATTCCGCATCGTCGTCGCGCCGCGACGGGGGGTCGGAGCGCCTTCGGCGCGCGGTGGCCGCCCGCGACGGGGGTCGATGTGGGGCTGTCGGCAGGGGTGACGCCCCCCCGACGCTTATTACGAAACTCGGAAAATGTAGTTCTTTGTTCCCTCACTTGGCCACGTGCAGAGGAGGGGAAGGTGGAGGGGAGACGGCTTCCTAGAAACACCCCTGCTTCTTAGAAGAATCAGGGGTGTAGGTGTAGGTGTAGGGTCTACGTCTTCTAACAAGCAGCCTCTTTCCAAGAAGCCTTCTCCCCTCCCACTACCCCCCTCTGCGCGCCGCCAATCTGTTCAGCGGGCCGGCCCCACGCAGGACCTCAAGGAGGAGGAGACCGCGGACATTGCCAAGCGCGACCAGTGTAAGGAGGAACTCCGGCGACCCTTCGGTGACCTTTCGGCGGTCTTCGGCGACCTTCTGCGGCCCTCGGCGCCCTGCGGTCGCATCGGCATCGTCGTCGTCGTCGGCGTCGGCGTGGTCGTGGTCGTGGTAGTGGTCGTGGTCGTGGTCGTCGTTGTGGTCGTCGTTGTCGCCGCCGTCGCCGTCGCCGTCGTCGTCGTCGTCAACGTGGTTGGCGTGGTCGTGGCCGTCGTCGTCGTCGTCGTGGTCGTCGTTGACGTCGTGGTCGTCGTTGTCGTCGTTGTCGTCGTCGTCTTCGTCGTCGTCGTCGTCGTGGTCGGCGTGGTCGTCGTCGTCGTCGTCAACGTGGTCGGCGTCGTCGTCGTCGTCGTCGTCGTTTTCGTCGTCGTTGTCGTCGTGGTCGGCGTGGTCGTCGTGGTCGTCGTCGTCGTGGTCGGCGTTGTCGTCTTCGTCGTCTTCGTCGTCGTCGTGGTCGGCGTGGTCGTCGTGGTCGTCGTCGTGGTCGTTGTCGTTATCGTTGTCGTCGTCGTCTCGTCGTCGTCGTCGTCGTCGTTGTCGTCGTCGATGTCAGTGTCGTCGGCGTCGGCGTCGGCATCGGCATCGGCACAGGGCGTCAGCGGCCTCGTCGGCATCGTCGTCGCCGCCGTTGTCGAACGTTCTTACATACTGTTGGTGCGTTTCGGCTGGATGCGGGCAACGTTCGGTCCGAGCACATCCGAAAACAGGAAGGCGATCTGGAAGTGTTCGGAGGCTTCTCTCAGAACTTAGAGGTTTTCGAAGGTCGTCGTCTCCGACACGGAGGCCCATCCCATCTGGATCCAAACACCCTCGCCCGTGCCCGGTCAGCTCGAAGCCCTGCGTAATCCACCCTAACCCTCCCAGAACCTCCCAAAACATGTTCCACTTGTTCTCTGACAGCTGCCCTCCTCCTCCTTTCAGGAGGGAAAAAACACAGACACAATTAATCGTCGATCCCCAGGAAAATCTGGGAAACTATGGGAAGTGGGGGGGAGACAAAAACTGTGAAAATATGCGAAAATATGAGGAATCCTGTTATTTGTGTGTATTTGTTTGTGTGTCCCAGGGCCCCTTCGTCCTTTTCCTTCCCACGAGCCTCGGATACGCTGCCCAGGAGGTGCCCAGGCGCTGCCCGCGAGCCCAGGCAGCCCTGCCGAGGAGCCGCGGAGGCGCTGCCCACGACATCTTATCGCAAGCGCTGCCCCGGAGCTGCCCAGGCGCTGTCCACGAGCCTACGAAGCCTGGGCTGGTCCTAAACGGTGTTTTTGGTGATTTCGTGGGCCGTTTTCGTTTCGACTTCGTTTTGCGGTAATGGCGGATTCGAGACAAAAGCGACGGAAAACGAAAACAGCACGAACACGAAAAACACCGTGTAGGTTCAGCCCTGTACGAAGCGTTGCCTGGGAGCTGCCTTAGAGCTGCCGTGTTGGGACCTCAAACGCAGGAGCCGCCGTGTGCACGCACACATGACTGGAGACCTGGGCAGGAAGCGCCTTGCAGCAGCCACCCATTCCAGGGCTCGTATCGACTCTCCTCCGACTCGATTCAATTCGATTTCGATCGGTTCCCATTCCTATTCGATTCGACTTCGGATTTCGATTTGTGGGTTTCGATTTATCAGTGGAGGCCTTCCTTCTCTGCCGAGTTCTGCCGAGTCGACCCCTCCCGACTGGGCTTGCCGACTTCCTCCGATCCGATGCATGTCGCTTCGGCCATGCGACTCCTCCACTTCGTTTGCAGGTTCTCTTGCCATTTCGGTGTTGCCAGAGGTGCTTCGTGACCCGTCCTCCTGCCCCGTTCCGTTCCCCCCCCCTTTGGCCGCCCCCCCGTCCTTCTTCCCCGCTTCCTGCATGGTGGCACAACATTCGCTACAACGGTGCCCCCGTGTAGTTGGCTCATCCGCCAGCGCAGTCACTCTGCGCCTAGCCGCCGACGCAAGAAATTGCCAGAGGTGTCCCCTGCCCAAGGCGTCCTGCCATCTCCGAGGAGGCCGCCGCCGCCTCCGAGGAGCCCTGCCCGCACCAGGCCCAGGGGAAGCTCACCGCGGGGGGGCTTCAGACTGCAGCGGCGAGAAGCCAGGGACCACCTGGGGCCAGGGACACCACCTCGAGCACAAAAGGGGGGAGGCGGAGGCGGAAATCAAAAGGACGAAACGCAAAAAAGGACGAGAAGGAGGAGGAGTTGGAGGAGGAGGAGGAGGAGGAGGAGGAGGAGGAGGAGGAGACGGAGGAGGAGGAGGAGGATGAGGAGTAGGAGTAGGAGGAAGTGGAGGGGGAGGAGGACGAGAGGGAGGAGGGATGATGATGATGAGGAGAAGGGCGAAGAGGAGAAGGAGGAGGAGGAAGAGGAGGACGAGGAGGAGGACGACGAGGAGGAGGAGAGGAGGAGCCCCGCTGGATTATATTGGTGGCCTTCCAGGCGGCTCCCCCAGGGGGGGCCTCCCAAAAAAGCTCGAAGAAGAGCGGCGGGGGGAGTGGTCCAAAGGCTGTGGGCCACGGAAACAGCCCAGCCGAGGGGCTCACGCTTTTTCTGCTTCCAGGGGTTGCTTAGAGTTGGTTGTAAGTCGGGCCTGTCCCTCTACAGGAGGAATGTTCAAAAGTAGTATGCAAATAGTCTGGGGACGATGTTCGAACTATTTGTGAATAGTTTAGGGCAGTTGTTTTGACTATGTTTATTGTTTCGTCCACAATGCGCCTGTAGTGGGACATGCCCGACCGACAGTTTTTCTCCAGACCTCACCTCTGCGCCTGCAGCACCTTCACGCCCGCCCCGACGAGACGGGTCGAGCGTCTCGTCAAAAGGCGCAAGAGGGCCCATGAGACGGCTCCCGTGCTCCTGAAGATGACCACAGGCCCCCCACAGGATCCAAGCACGGCCCCAAGATCGTCCAGGACGGCACAAGGGCGCCCCAAAGGCAATCCTGACCCAGAAGCCAGCACGTGCTGATATTGTTTCCATGCTGTATGGGTTTCACGGAATCGCCCTTAGTTATCTGGAGTATCCAACCAAGCCCACGAAGCACCTGAGATCTCCCAAATGACGGATACAGTAGGCCACACCTCGTTTTCCTTCTGCTTCTCCATCGCCATAATTATGCAATTAGTTTTCCTTTACATATATATATATACACATATATAGTCAGTGGTAGATCTCTTGGCATTCATACACATGTCATGCATATCTAGCGTTTTCGACTACCTCTCTCTCCCTCTCTCTCTCCCTCTTTCTCTCCCCCCTCTGTCTGTCAGCCTCTTGGCTCTTTGTTCAGGACTTCGATCGGGCTGCCTTTTTGTTCGGGCTGCTCTTCGCAACCATGGTGGAGCTGGAAATGCCTCGTCGACGATCCTCAGTTTCCGTGGAAGGCCAATGGTTTTGGTTTATATCGAGACAAGAGTTTCTAAAGCTGCCCGATGGTCAGCGCGTTCCAGTCCACAAAACATTGCGAGAGCAGGGCAAACTTGTCCACAGATTTATTAGCGCACGGGACATTGTGGCAGGCAAGTCTGGGCGCAGTAAGCTTGCGATCAGCCACCGATGGATAGAGGATTCCCATCCTGACCCATACGGCATCAAGCTGAAGGCAATCAAACGCGTCCTGCAGCAGCACCCCGATCTTTCAGAGGTCTGGATGGACTGGATCTGTGTGCCTCAGAAGCACCTCGACGACGGCACGGTGAGTGAGCGAAGCCCTGAGGAGAGAAAGGAGTTCGACGTGGCGCTGCACAACGTCCTCCCCTACGTGTACCTGAACTGCACTGTAGTCTTGCTGTTCGACGCCGACTACAACAGGAGGTTCTGGCCGTGCGTGGAGGCCTGGACGGCGATGCGCAGGGTGACCCCGCAGGGCTGCCTCCCGGCCGACCCGCTGGGAAGCGAGCTGAGAGTCCTTGTCTGCGGTATCGGAGGTTCCGAAGGCGAGGATGATCTGGCCTGCAGCTACATTCGGGGGTTGCGAGAGGTGCCCCTGGCCCACGGTGCCCCCCCAGCTTTTCGTTTTAATGTGGAGCCCCTGGCGCCTCCTGGGCCTCGATGGGGTTCTCTGGAGGCCGGGGGGCTCTCCTTGGAAATCTTGCGGGCACCTTGGGCCAGGGGCACTTCTGGCAACACCCGATACATGGTCGGCGCCTGGTTATCCAAGTCCGCGGAAGATGCCAGCGTGAAGTTGCACAACAGTGAGTACCACGTGACCAACGCCAAGGACAAAGACAAATGCTTGGAGGTCATCGGTGCACTGGACGACGAGGTGCGCAGGCTTTTTGCTGACTATGGCCAGGAGTATTACAACATGCCCCTTCCAGTCGGAAAGAGGCGAATCTGGTACATGATTATTTTTGGGCTTGCGGCCGTGGCCGCCTGGCTACTCGTGCTGCCATGTATCTGGTATTCGTGGCCGAGCCACGGAGGTACCTGTAGGTCCCCTGCCAGCATTCAGCATGCACAGCAGGTGTCGTGCCATGAAGGACCGACTATCGAGTCTGGAGAGAATTGTACTGCTGCTTGCGAGGAAGGGCACAAGCCCAGTGTATCGTCTTTGGCATGCATCTGGGGCGTTCTAAGGCCGCCATCATTTTCGTGCCGCGAAAGTGTACCCGATCCTCCGCAAAAGGAGGGTGAGGGGGGAGCTATCGAACCGGATACTGAGGAGATTGAAGGAGGTCGAGGATACTTGATCACTCCTTCCCCAGTGGGTGATGGAGGGGAGATCGCTGGGCTGACGGATGGATCGAGGACTCCTCCGCATGGATTGTGGACGATGTAATGTTCCCTGTCTGGCAGATCATTCATTCGCTTCGCTCATTCCGCCGGCCCATACTACGTAGTGTTTAGTAGTGGCCTTCGGCCAGACTGCATCGTGGAGCAGAGGCCTTGCTGGGAGGCTTGTTGGGGCCTCTTGTGGGAGGCCTCTCGGGGGCCTCTTGGCCGTATTTTTGCGCATCTCGGGTTGTCTTGGGGCCTTTCGGGGGTTTCTTGGGGGCCTCGGGGGGCCTCTT